GTTAGATGACCAACCTTCTTATTTTCGATTCTAAGTTTCACAATGAATTCGTTGTTTTCGACCGGTTCCGATGGAATTATGAGTGCATATGCAACTGCACATTCACCATCCTCGTTGTTGGCCGACGGAAACCCTAATGAAGGATGTGTATCAGCTAAGAGACGACCGATGTGATCGTGGAGCAGCGAAAATGGATCGTTTGCACCATACTGAAAGGATGATCTTTCACAAAAACGCTCACAAATACGATCAAGAAAAAGATCCGAAAGCAAAGATAATACAGTGGAGAACACACTGAATAAATTGAATAAATAACATCCTCTTAATGGAATCAAAAATTTGATTCAAAACTCCATCAAAATGAATTCACCAGCAACTTGTAATCGCACTGGTGATATATTTCAACTGCCAACAACTATCCACAATCTTTAAATTTTGATAAGTGACCGGGTTTACAAAATATTCTGAATATAAATTTAGTGCCTCAACAATTACCTGTCGAGTGAGCGATTTCAGACGATCTGAGTAAACTACCAGTTTGCGTGCGTTAGCGAATGAAATCGCCGATGCATTCGTTTCAGTGAGCGGATCAATTTGTCCTGATTNAGTTTGCGTGCGTTAGCGAATGAAATCGCCGATGCATTCGTTTCAGTGAGCGGATCAATTTGTCCTGATTTCCATAGATGAACCGTTGCATTCCACACAGCAATAAGCTCCTCACCGGCTTGACTGTCTGCAAATGATAAACTTTTCAATTAGTGCAATTAAAACAAATAAGAAACTTCTTCAGCGATTTCAAATTCAACGTCGAATCGAACAAACGAACAAAAACTCATTACCTTTGAATGAAAGCAGCTCTTTCGTTGTGATCAAACGTCCACCATCTGATGGATCTGCGATTGATTCAAAAAACTTGTTGAACCATTTACTGGATTTAATATTGGCGAAGTAATTCGATGGTAAAACCACCTTAAATGATTATGTTACATATCTCTATGATATTATCTTCAACATTTCAAAAGTCACGAGAAAACGGCTTATTTACATGCGAAACAGCTCGCATGATCTGAATCGAAACATGTTGATCTGAATAGTTGCAATTTCGCCGATCACCACCAACCTGTAGTTGCTCGAAGAAATCCGAATATAACGCAGCCATGTTAACGGCTTGTATTTCGAGTGA